TGCGCGGCCCCTGCGCGCGCCCGGGTGCCTTTGTTTCTAGCTTCCAGCAAGTCTCGCGAGCCAGCTGCGGGGCGCTAGTTGCGGGGTCTCCACCGGGCATCCAGAGGAGCCGCCGATGCCCTGGCTGCCGCTCCGCAAAGGGCAAGGTTTCGTTCGCACTCGGCGCGTCTGGGGGAAAGGACCGGGGCAGGTCAGTCCTGCCCTGAGCCGCAGCCTCTGGCCGAGCCGTGGTGCGGAAAAGCAGCCGGGGATGGAGTGGCCTTTGGCTTTCTGAAATCCTGAGTCAGGACCAGCTTCGCGCCGGCTCCAGCTCGGAACAGCTGCTCCTGGCCCCGGCTCTTGATGCGATGCGGGACTGTGGGTGGGGGGAATCTGCCGCCCCCGGGTTGGCTTGTTTAGAGGCACCAGGAGCACCGTGTGATCGACGTGCTGGCAGCAGGCACTGAAAGCATCAGAGATGCTGAAACGGGCTCCCAGCCTGGCGGGTGGTACAAGCTCCAGTCAAGTAAAGTCAGTTTGGTGGCCACCACGACCATCGCGGCACCTGAGGTGCTGTAACAACCATGATGGGAGCTGTTGCTGCTGAAGGAGCAGTGATTGCTCTCATACACATCCTGCTCTGGGTGCAGGTCCTGATCCGAAGCCCACTGTAGTCCATAAGGGGACTTCTGCTGCTGTCTGGATCTGGCACAGTAAGGATAAGGCAGACCTGAGCAGCAAAGGAAAGGGCTTGATTTCTAACAGGCAATTCCTGGAGGGGAGGCTATGAGACTGTGAGGGTCAGTGCATGTAGCTAGCACTCTGGAAGCTATCTATTATAAGGACTGGAGAAAGGGACTAGTGGGAACCCTTGTTCCTGGTGGCATCTCCATGTGTCTTAGAATTTTTTTCTTTAATTCACTCAGATCCAGCCAGCTGGTGCCATCACTGCCACTCTAACCTCCTTGTCTGTGAGGGGGCAGGGATTCTCTTGATGTATGTCTGTACTGTTCCTAGGGCCATGGGGACTAGACCCACGCTGGGGCTACTGGTTGCTATTGCACTAAAACAATACCCAGCTCTTTACAGTGCTTTTCATAGGAGGCCAGCACCATTATTGCCATTTTACAGAGGGGCACATTGAGACAGACAGAGGTGAAGTGATTTGTCCAAAGTCACCAAGCACACTAGTGGCAGAGATAAGACTCAAACCTAGACCCTGGCTATAGGTACTAATCAAATGGAACTGGAAATCCCAATTTATAGTCTCAACACTGCTCGCAGCACCCACACCATAACAAAAGATCTGCTGGAGTCTTCATTTTCTCAGTGTCTTTCTGAGCAGGCTTGCAAGGGAGGCAGGCAGCATGGGCCTGTCACCATAGCAAGGGATTGACAAGGGGCCACTCCAAGGGGGGTAGAAGAAACTGCTTTTGGGTGCAGGATGAAGGGAAAGGACTGCTGTAGGCCATGCATTCTCAGGGAGCGGGGGGTGAACCTATGCAGACAGTACTGGGCAAAGGGAGTTCTGTCTTGCTACTCCCAGCACTGGTCTGTTGGCAGATCTCATGATGCCTTCATCTGTAAAATGGGCAGAATTTCTCATGCTGCCTGCTCAGCCAGTCTCCATTCTTCTTCTCTTAGTGTCTACGCCTGAGTGGAATTATTTCAGGGACACTTGTCCCTGCTGCGGTGAAACATGCAACAAAGAGAAGGGGCAGGGAACTCTTGCCCTGCACCTTGCAAGGGACAAGAAACGGAGTTGGGGGGAGGGATTGCATGGGTCAGGTCGGAAGGGTGCGATGCCTTGGGCTGCTGCAGCTTCCCCAGGGCTCAGCATGGCATTTGGCCCTCATCTTGCTTTCCGCAGCGCTGGGACTGAGGGGCTGGCTCCGCTCATGGCCGTGGCCAGGTGCACAGGGATGCTGTGGTGCCACGGGACACCTGGCAGTGGTGGGTGGGTAATTGGCTTCTGGGGCTGCCCATGAGGAGCCCGGCTGAGCGTGGCCTGGCCTGGTGAGCGCCAGCACCAGCTCCTTCCCACCTGCAGGGTGGCTCAATGGCAGCATGGCCATACGCACCTGCTGCCTCCTGGCACTGCCTAGGCGGGCAGGTGGGGGCCGAGGCCAGGTGGGAGTGCCTGGGAGCTGCAGCCAGTGCTTGAGGCAGGATCTCATTTCAGACTCCCTGCCTGCAGCCCGAGCTCAGCTTCGACTTCCAGGAGTTCAGAGATGCTGTCAGCACTTTCCTTCCTGGCAAGTACTTCCCCCCTCCACGCACCTGGGACGTGCCACTGTCTCTGCCGCTCGGGGCTTCCTTCAGCCACAGCAATGATTTCCTGCCCTTGTGGAGGGGAGCCCAGAGGGACCTGCAGGGGTTGCTCTAAATCCCCATCCCCCAAATAGGGACCACGGGTCCATGTTACATCGGGCCCCAGCACTGGTGCCAGAGGCTTTGGAGTGGTGGGTGTCCGGGTGGAGCCGTGTAACCCTTGCGGCTTCCCACAGACCCTACTGACCTGATGCCACCTCCACTGAATGCTGCTGGGTTCAGCTTCCCACTGAGTGATGGATCTGTCTTCAGTCCCTGCCTTCAGACTGTGCCAGGTGCCTCCATCTCGCAGCCCAGCCTACCCGGTGCTGCCCCGGCAGAGCAGTACTGGAAGGAGGTGGCAGACCACAACCAGAGAGCGCTGGGAGATGCGCTGGTGGAAAACAGCCAGGTAGGCGGAGAGACCCAGCAGGGGTCTGTGTCACCCAGAGGATGTCCTGCTTCTTGCCGGCCAATCCAAACTCCCTCCTCTGTTCGGTCTGTGCTGGCTGTGTGGGGCTCGCACTGCTCACCAGTGGGATGGCGCAGTCACATGCCAGCACCCAGGAAGTGGTGCTTGACTTGCTTCTCCTCTGACAGCTCCACGTCACCTTATCCCAGAAGCAAGAGGAGATCACATCCCTGAAGGAGAAGAACGTGCAGCTGAAGGAGTTGGCCAGCCAGGCCAAGCAGCTGGCCTCAGTGCTTAATGTAAGTGCTCCCCCACCCCAGTCTCCTTATTGTCCTCATGCCATCGAAGCAAGAACACCAGGACTAGGGGCAGAAATCACACCTCAACTGGTATAAGTGATCGAAAACTGGTTCAAACCTGTAACACCACAAGTTCAGCGCACATAAACTGCTTTCAAAGTGGCTGAAACCAGTTTAAGATAAATCTGGATGGATGTAGAATCAGACTTAACTGATTTAGGTTAAATCAGTTTATTGCATGCCAATCCCAGATCCCCTCCAGATTCAAGTTAACTCAGTCACCCAGCATCCCAGGATGCTTTGCACTAGGGCTGTGCGAAGCTTCAGTCCCTGATTCAATTTGGTGGAGATTTGGCTCGATTCGGTGGCTAAATCTCTGAATCCAAATCGAATCTGAGGACCCTTTAATCTATCTGAATCGAATTGGAACCCTCTGAATTGATTTGGAGAGATTCGGCAATTCGGACATAGAGACAGCTTTGAATGTTTTTTCTACATACCTCTAGGTGGTAGGGGCTCATGAATGCCGTGATGCTGGGGCGCATGGAGTGTCCCACAGAAGCAGGGGGGGGCTCCCCAGTGTGCTCAGCAGCAGACCTGAAAGTGAACCAGAAGCACTTCTGGTCCACATCCGGAGAGCGTGCTGGGGGGCCCCCTCACGCCCACACGGCTTGGTGACTGGTACCTCCTGGGTCTGGGGGGAAGTACCCGGGGCCCCCTGTGGCCAATTGCCAAGATGGGAAGGTGTGGAGGGGTGGGGCTCAGCACACTCCCTGGCAGACCTGGAAGTCGACTGGAAGGACTTCTGGTCCCCTTCTGGGTTCGCTGCCAAGCATGTGGAGGGCCCCCCCTGCGCTCCTGTGGGATGCTCCATGCACCCCAGCATCACTGCGCCTGCTACCTCAAGGTATGTAAAAAAACCCTCTTAAAGCTGTGTCTATGTCCGAATCGCTGATTCTCTGAATCAGCATTGAATCTTCAGATTTGGATTTGGATAAATTGAATCAGGGACAGTGATCTGAATCAATGAATTGAATCACTATCTCTGATTTGGGCCAAATCCGAATAAAATAGGGCCCGCTTTGCACACCCCTACTTTGCACCTCCCTTGCAAACCTCCTTTGGCAGGGTGGGTGGGCTAACCTTGGCCCAAGCTGTCTGTACTAGCTGAGCAGGAAGGCATGTTCTAGCGCCTCTGGCTTCTGGCCTGGGCTACTGCAGGCATGTGGCTGTACTTCTGGAATCAAAAGTGAATGTCTGTTCAATCTCTGCAGTTTAGACTAACCTGCAAAGACTAATTGATTCAGCCTTTGGCTTTTTGACTGTCTGCACTTAGCCCAGGGGATGCTCCAGGCCTGGGGGAGCAGGACCTACCTGCCCCTGGATTGCTACGGTCCAATGGGGGGGGAAGGGGGAGCGCATGGCAGGCACTGTGAAATTGGTGTGTTTGGTTCCTCTTGCAGAGACTGATGGTCCAGCAGGCCCAGGAAGCACCAGATGCTTCCCACCCTAAGGGATCAGTGAAGAGGAGCCTGGAGGACCTGTTTGCCGCCGGCCAGGAGGGCTGCGAGGGGGTAGACGAGATCCTGCAGGAGATCTCAGACAAGTGCCATGCTGCCCTGCAGACGCTTGATGAGAGCAAGGATATGAAGCGTCTACGGCTCCAGGCTGAGGAGCGCCAGGCCATCCCTCTGCATGGAGCCTTCAATGGGCTGGAGACATGTTGCAGCCAGAGCTCTGTGAAGCTGGGTGACAGTGAGCTGGAGGAAGGCTTAGCTTTCAGGACCTCCATCAAGGAGCATGGCACAATCCGGACACTGGCATTCCCTCAGGGCAATGCTTTCACAATCAGGACAGCAACCGGGGGCTACAAGTTCAGATGGGTCCCCAGCTGAACTGGGAAAGGATCAGCTAACTACACTGGCCAAGCCCCACTGAAGGCTTTGCACTGCCTGCACTTACACTGGCTGGGCCCAGCCAGGCCGTGGAGTTTTCTCTCCCAGTGCTGCCTGCAGTGAGGGTGAGTTTAAGGGTTTCATTGGAAGCCTCTGAGGAAAAATTTGGATGCTTTTTTAAAAAAAAAAATAAAGCTGGGCTGTGATTGTGTGTTCCAAGCTTATAAAGTCATATTTAAGTCACAGTTGTGTGTACAACTATATTTAATTTTTACATCCTGTCTGATCACCTAAAATTGACAAGGATTTTTAATAGTTTCACATAAACATTGTTTTGAATCAGGTAGGTACACTGACTGCTTTGCACAAAAGAGTCTTTCCTACTGCAAGACTTGTTCTGCTAAAGCAGAGAAAGTTAGAAAAAAAAGCATGTGCTTGTATGCTCTCAGTACCATTTTCTCAAGTAGAGAGAAATATAGAAGTGGGGATTCAAAGGTTTTAAATGGATATACTTCTATTGCACCTATCTAATCAAAAAGTGTGCATTTAAAATTGACAGGTAACTTGAAAGTCACAACATTCTCAGTTAAGGTTTTTCAGTATCATTTGGCTATGCAGTCATGTGCATCACCAGCACATCAATAAGTAAATAAGATAGTGGTAAGAAACCATAGAGAATTCCGTTGCCTATGAACAGTGCACTATCCCAATTTCCATCGAAGACTGCTTGGTGAAGTGTTGCAGCTTCAGCATTTAGGGAGCTGTGGCTATAATGGGCCAAGAATGTGGTATAAAAGAGCACAAGCCATTTGCGTTTAATACAAATCATGTATAGTCCTTGGGTTCCTAGCGAATTACTCATGTGATCCTTGCTTAATCACTTTTTGAGCACTGCAGTTTCTGAATAAGCTTTTACTATGAGAGGTTCTGAACCATCTAGTGGGGCACAGTTACGTTTTGCCCTTCTCAATGGAAGTCCCTTGCCATCTAGCCTAACAGCCCTGGCTCTGCAATAGGCAACAGGTGCAGAATCTGCTACACTTGTTTGTAATATGTTTAACCATCACTGACATCATAAATCAGCAGGGCATAGTTTGATAAAAGTGCAGCAAGCTGCATCAAAGTCTCCCATCATCCTCACAAGATTTTCTAAAATACAACAACTTTGGAAGTGTGGCATATATATTGCATAAATAAAAAAAACAAGTTAATCACTTCATTGGTATATATATTTAATTTTATTATTATTGTTTTATTTTTTATATTTTAAACATAAAAAGGAAAATACAAAAAAACCCTCCACCCTTGGTAAATCATAATAACAGTATAATTGACTCTTCAAACTATTAGCTTGCTGTATTTTAAAATGTCCTAAGAAATCAATATACTTTTAAGCACCTAATTCCCTTCTTTACCACTTAGCCTGTTAACAAGGTTTTACCAAACTAGCCCAAATGTGCTAAAAACATATTGAATTTATTGTGAGATGACTGGATCTTTTAAGAACTTTGTTACCATTCTGAATTTCACCAGTTCATTTAATTATTTTTAACCATTTCGGCACAGTAAACTCCAGAGGTTCTTGGCTAGAGGGTCTTGCTCCTCTACTTAGGGTCAGACTGATTGCCATACACTAGCATAAGTAGGGAAGGGCGAGAGGGGCACCAGTAGGGTCCCTTCCTTCTATGAGTCTTTCTGAGCCATGCACAGGCCAGCCGCAAGGAGCCAGGTAGGGTCAATTCCATGCTCAGAGGTATATCATTGCTGAGAAGGGGTGGAATGATGGCCCTTTCCTCCAGGGGTCTTTGTCATGGGAAGGTCAGCCATGCTCCTGGGGGTGAAGGAGAGCAAGTAGAGCACCATGAGAAACCCCGGTAGTGATACCTGTTCCTCAGCAGCAGCAGCTCAGCCTGTGCTGTTAAAGCAGCAGTAGCAGTAGCAGTTATCATTCAAGTATGGAGAGCCTGGTCAGGAAAGAAGTGTGTGTGTGTGGTGCCCCCCAGATCACTGTGTCCTGGGCAGTCACCCACATTGCCCACCCCTAAGGCTGGCTCTGCCAGGAAAGCCCTACCTGTTGCAACTTAGGGTCTTACGGCAACCTGATGAATGTATGGGTAGTAGAAGAAAGTTTTAGTAGAAGTAGACCTCATCCTGTTGCAAATAATAGTTGTAGAAGTTGGAGAATGTTGGAAAATAATGGTAAAATTGATTAAATGCTGCCATATATATGAAGGTACTAAAGCGCAAAACAATCCACCATCCTATTACAAAGACTAACGTAACAACTAGCTAAATCATTGTTTCCCAAACAGTTTGAACCAACAGACTACTGATAACCCTTACCACTTCTTATGGATCATCTTGCATTCTTTCCATTATCAAAAAGAGGGAGAGCCCACTATAAGCTGAAGCTCACTTAGTAGGGCCTCATGGACCACCCATGGCCTGTGGACCACCACTTGGAAAACAATACATTACATAATGTAAAATGAAAGTGCTTCCTCTTTATAAGGTAATTGACATAGCCTGGCCAAGAAAACGTCAGGTCCAAAAGCCAGCATGTCATTAGTCCAAACAAAAAGTACTACTGTGCAGAAAGGGAGTGCTCACAAGTAATTATTATGCTGAAAGTTCTACCTTTTTTCTAATCATGCCAGGCAGTAGCGTGGAAGGAGGCCATCCTCCTCTCTCCCATCCTGGCTAATTGCAGTTGGCAGCTGCCTGTGGAGCAGTAGCTCTTCCCAAGAACTCTTGGAGCCCTTGCCACCATGCCTGGGTAGCATGCAGCGGCCACCTTGCCGGGAAGGGCTGCCACTGAGGAGGACACAGGAGGATGAGGATGGGCTGGCGGTGGAGGGCAGCAGTAGTGGTGATGAGACTGGCAGAGACAGCCAGTGGGGGCAGGGGAGCAGCAGAGGATAAAGTGGGGCATCCAGGGAGCCTGTGCCATGCTCTCCAGCTGCCTCGTGTTCCCTTGCACACTCAGCACTACTGCTGTGGGTCTCAAGTGCTTGCTGGGCTCTGAGCTGAAAGGGGAGCCTGGGTACCGCTGAGCTGAAAGGGGAGCCTGGGTACTGCTGTCAGCGTCTTCTTCTTGGGGCTGCTGCTCTCTGGGGGGTCAAGAGGGGTGCTAGGAGGGCACCAAAATGCAAGTTCACCCAGGGCACCATTTTCCCTAAGCCTGGCTCTGTTTCCTGGCCCTGTGAATCTTCAATTTCTTCCTGCACAGCGGGCTAGCTTCAGTAAGAAGTTGCCGAGTGCCTCATTCTTGATTTTCCAGAAAAGTCTAGTGCCTGATAGTTACACCATTTTCCTGGAAGATGGGACATATAGATTTCAGTCTCATCACAGCAGACCACCAATTTGGTGTTTGAGCTCATTGAGGCCAGCAGTTATCATAACGAGTTGTTTCCTGTAAGCAGCCATTGTTGGTTTTGGCTGTTCTTAAAGTTACCGCACAGAAGTTGAATTCTATTAACTTTTTCCCACTTGTTTTCCTAAACATTTTTATGACGTAAAATTTCACGTAGCTGTAACTTCAGATAAAAACCAAACATTTTTACAGACAGTTTTATATGACAGCAGCAGTCCTTTTCATCTTTTCTAAACATTGACTTACTTATGGTCAGTGGCAGTTATTTACATTTTGCATTGTATATTCTTAACAAACAACTAAGTTAGAAAGGTCAAATATCGTAGTAGTTTGCTTTGGCACAACTGTTTTATAGATATACCAGAAACAGCCTCAAAGTTTCTCTTGCACCTAACACCTGTTCAAACTCCTATAGCTAATGACTATTTATTTCAATATTTACTTTATACTCTTCAACAAAATTAGAATTAATAAATGTCCTCAAGTTTATCCACATGGCTTGACTTATTTTAGTAAAGAATCAGGATTGTTTATAAGGGACTGACGTGGCTGGAGTGGTTATAATTAGAAATTCAAAGAACACCGTGGGTGGAAGTTAATTCTTTCTCAGTCCAGGAAACTGTTACTACAGTGGCCTGAGCTTTTATCTCCTGGGGGCCTTCTTCAGTATAAGTTTCTTGAAAGCAAGAGGAGTTACAATTTACAATATGTGATACTGTCAGGTCTTTTGCTGAAGATAAGGTACCAGTGATGATGGAGGGTAGAATTTGAGGTCAGGGAAGTACCCCAAGTAGAACTAAGACATGATCTGAAGGCAGTTGAATTTCACAGCCATAATTTACAACTGAGTTTGGCTTGCAGCATCTTTGGTGGTGGTGATGAATCCCGCTTTGACTTTCCAATCTAAGACTGAATTTGTACACTTAGAAAAACAGCTTTACAAAGTAGCTTACTTTAAGCAGATGTTATATCAGTATAAATTTCAACAATATACATTTATATTAGAATAGCATCTTCCTACCATTGAATTAATATATCGTAGTAAATACATTGGATGGGAAATTGTCATCATATATTATCATATGCACTTACAGACTTTTAGACTAAAGTACAATAACATGAAGGCCACAAAAAAAAAATCCAGAACATGGGGAAGTGGTCAGGAAGGCCAACCGTACCCTGTCATGCATCCACAGATGCATCTCAAGCAGGTCCAAGGAGGTGATCCTCCCCGTCTATGCGACACTGGTCAGGCCGCAGTTGGAGTACTGTGTCCAGTTCTGGGCGCTGCACTTCAGGAGGGATGTGGACAACATGGAGAGGGTCCAGAGGAGGGCCACTTGCATGATCAGGGGGCAGCAGGGCAGGCCCTACGAGGAGAGGTTAAGGGACCTGAACCTGTTCAGCCTCCACAACAGAAGGCTGAGGGGGGATCTAGTGACCATTTACAAACTGGTCAGGGGGGGCCATCAGGCATTGGGGAGTCCCTGTTCCCCCGAGCACTACCAGGAGTAGAAGAAATAATGGTCACAAGCTGGCAGAGTGTAGATTTAGGCTAGATATCAGGCGGTGTCACTTCACTGTCAGGGCAGCTAGGATCTGGAGCCAACTTCCAAGAGAAGTGGTGCTGGCTCCTACCCTGGGGATCTTTAAGAGGAGGCTAGACAACCACCTAGCCGGCG